TGGGGAGCGATCAACGGGGAGGACAGGACAGAGACTCACAGGAACACAGGACTGAACACAGAGAACTCAAAAATAAACATACAGAAACATGGAACATAACAGTTATTATACAGTATTTAAATTGTCTAAGTGTTGGGATCCAGTCAGGCCATGAAAAAACAAATTAGATCATATACTCGTCATGAAGGGAAAGAATACTTTCACTTAATTAAGCTTTTTCTTTTCGTGACTTTAATTCAAGAAAAGAATGCATGTTCTGTATTTAGTTCTAAAATTATTTAAATTGGATCCTTAAATTCAAAGATACATACAAGGTTCTGCTTAGATTAGCATGTCCTGAGAAAGTATAGAGACTTCTACTAAACTATATGTTTTACCAGTTAAGTTGTGCTAAAACTATTTTCAGGCTAAAGCAGTGGTCCAGCTACTGCCAAGAGACTGAGCAGAAACAAATGTCTGTAAATCTCAATGAACTGAAACAACATTGGAAATATGATAAGACCAAAATTCTTTCACAAAGATGAGACAGACTCAGGAAGTTTAATATAAAACTAAAATATGAACATGATGTTCTGCAGCAGTAGTGACATATTCTGAGAGTGCAGGTCGGGCTTGTTAAAGATCAGCAATAAGCAAAAAAAACTGGAATTGATTCACCCCAATAAATAACATTACTGACCTTGCTTTGTCATGACCCACAGCAGTAATTTCAGACCTTTAGAGAAATAAAAGATTTAAAACATTGTTTATAACATGGAATATTTTTCCAGTGTTCGTATCAAAATGTTCCTTATCTGAAAAAGCAGAAATGTATCCATAGTCAGGAATAAGTACGTGGTGAGGCGGTGTTGAGGAAAATAAATATTCTTAGTGTTTAGTACAGTCTTACAATCTTACAACATGTGAAAATTGTGGATTGAGCAAAAATGTTTTTGGATAACATCTCAGAGGGCCTGCAGGAGAGACCGTTTCTGTTATCAGGGAGGAACCACGTCATAAATTAACTCTGGCACACAGGCAGCGAGGAGACAAGTCATCTTCCTCAGAGAAACACTAAAATTGAAGGAAAAACAAACTAACAACACATACCATTTTCAATAATTGCAATTTAATTAGTAGAATACCATTTAGTTAAAATTAACATGACCTGAACTAATCTAATTTGTAGTTTTATATTAACAGCACTGGTGTCTAAATCAGGCTAAATTTGTAACACTAAGTGAGCCAAACATATAATCAAAACTAGCATAACATTAATTAGAAAATGTTTAGAATGAATGTGTTTATATTGAAAATGCTCAGGTATATTCTATAAGTGTTTTATTCTTAAAATCTGCGCTTTGATCTAAGAGGATGCAGAAGTTCTGAACCACTTTGCGTACCAGGCTTTATGTCGATTTAAAATTACTGCACTGATCTGGATTTGTAGGAATTACACGACAGGGAAATAAAATAGGTCTAAGACAGGTTAACTTTTGGTTGAACCCTGGTGGAAGACTAGAGGCTTTGTTCCAACCAGGTGTTAGGAGTAACATCACATTTCAAACTGACAGGAGAAGAGCTGCTCTGAATGACCCTATAGGTCTCTGTAGCCCTGAAATTAAACAGGTTTCAGAAGGCAACAAAATTGCTTTGGACTTCCCAACTGAGTAATTTGAAACTGGGTCTATCCATACAAGCAGAACAACACGCCTTAATTCCATAATTGCATAAATTAAAACAAAGAAAACACCCTTTTGAATAAAAGTAAGGGCCCCAGAGGAACCAATCAGATTTGCTATTTGCAGCCGCAGAGCAATCTCCAAAAAACTTGTTTTTTGCGTTTTTCCTGTTTTTCTATTTCCTACTTTTCTATTTGTCTCAGGTAAATGAATGTCAGTTTTAGTGTGTATGAAGTGTTTGTGTTGTTGATGTGATTTTATACTTTTAAATGTTGGAATACTCTGTGGCTTTTGTTTCCACGCATGGAATCATTGAATCCAGGAGGACAAGAGAATATAACGAGCCAGAAGTTCATGATTTTATTCTCTTACAGTGTGCAGTCAGGGGGGGAAATTTTTTCATAGAATGGGTTAGGGATCTGCTTTGAGCTCTTTCTAGTTTATTCTATAGTGATGGAGAGAAATTATATCATCTGCACTGAGAGCAGGAAGCAGAACCTGGAGAGCTTGAGGTTTGCACTGGACATGGGATTAGCCAACCAGAAATGATGATGAACGGATGAAGATCAGTTTCCGAAGTGATATTAGAGAAAGGTAATAGCAGCAGAAGGTTTATGGACCTGGATCTATAGCCGGGGTGTCAAACTCCAGTCCTCAAAGGCCAAATCAAACGGCTTCATTCCCTCCTCCTTGTGTAGATCAGCTCTCCAGAGCCTTAATGACCTGATTATTATATTCAGGTGGTGCAGCAGAGGCTCATCTAAAAGCTACAGGACATTGGAGGACTGGAGTCTGACACCTGTGATCTATAGTCTTCAAGAAAGTCACTGTCAAAGAGACAAGATGAGCTGAAATGACCGAGATGGAGTTTCAGTGGCGGTTTCTGATATGGGCAACTGCCCAGGATGGCAATTTGTTGGGGATGACATAAGTGCTCACCCCTCCTCTCAGCTGATAATTACTTGTATTTTAATACAAGAAAATAAAATACAATTGCGTGTATATTGCACTTTAACTATGGCCACAGGTTTAAATTAGATTTTTTGGTAACATTTATCTGAAGGGGGTTGAATAAGACTGACATAACACTGTCATAAACATGTCATAACATGAATAAGCCTTCATGAATATTTATGACTGTTGTCATAAAGCGTCATTCGGTAAATTATGACACTTTTAATACAAAGTTGACATTATTCAAAATGTCTTTGTTATGACAACTTGACATTAACCAAGAAATCATTACTGATATAAATTTGTTATAAAAGTTTTACTGATTGCCCTTTAAAAGTTAGGTAACTTTATGTTATTAAAGGTAAAGTTTAAACATGAAAGTGTCATGATAGTCTTATTCACACCCCTTCAAATAAAGTGTTACTGATTTTTTTTAATCAGGATATTTTGCAGAATGCTGATAGCTTTGTCATCAAAATGAAAAGATATTATTTACAGCACCACCACAGCTTAAGGACTCTCCCAAGCGTATTGCATTATTAGCTGCAGGTTTAACTAATCTATCCTGTTATCTAATGGATGAATGTTAGATGGAAAAGGCCAGTGATGTAATAGATTTCTGTAGCTCATCTGTCATCTCCTTGTCTCCCATTTCTCTTCATAAAGATTCAGCCTCTCTTCTGCATCGCCTCTCAGCTGTCAGCCTCCCAACTTACAGAGCACTTTGGATGTCTTACCTGTCCTCCTTCCATTAGTACATGGAAGCAGGAGGTAATGGATGTAGGTCAAAATAAACTAAATGTCACCACAAAGTAGGTTTGCTATTAGAACTACTATGTATTATTATAACAGTCCAAAAACTCTTTAACTCAAGTGAACTGACTCTGTACTTACTGAGCAGCCACAGTTGAAACGTTTCCTCCATTGTTCCTCTTCATGATGTGAACCGACTCGCTGGGACTACCTTCATCTGGGCACCGACCTCGCTGTGGTTGCCTGAGTGATGATCGTTCTTAGGTTCATGCCATGGATGTAACTTTGGGAGTTATAGAGACTGCTATGATTGGATTTAAATACCGAGACTATTTGAAACCTTTTAAAAGCTCTGGGTCAGATGTCATCCAGGCTCAAAGATATTCAAGGCTGAAAACTCAGACTGAAATTTGTAACATTTTGTGGGAAACCGAAATGGTGCCTCCTAGGTGTCTGTTTCACTATCGGGAAAAATCATTCTTCCAGTCCTTTCTGCAGAACGAGGTGAGTCTTACACACACATGCAGTAATCAGTTGATAATATATAGACTACTTTATATGTTTCCAACAGCTTTTAAATCTTACATTTATGATTGTCATGTTGAAACTGATTTAATTTGACACTGTATTCTGTAGATGTCAAACTTAATGTTATACTTAATTTGAATCACACATTGAACTCATCAGTCCTCAGTCATGTGGACCGAAATCAACCTTAGTCTTGTTCCTTCAACCAACCTTGATTATAAAAGTCAGTATTTCACACCAAATGTTTTGTTTCAGTCAAGTCTGAATTGAAAAGATACTTTTACAGTGTTTTATGTTTAATCACAGATTGCCTGCCTGGTTTATGGAATATATTTGCGTAGTATCAAGACCAATGTTTAAGTGGAATCTCTATGATAGATTCCAGTTTTGATTTCTAGGTTCCTCTGGGAAAAGGAAGCTGATGAATGTAAGCAGCAGCAACAGGACTAACTCATAACATTGTGGTGGTTTGAGTGTTTACTTCTCAGCATAGAGTCCAAACTGATCAGTGCTAAAAATAACGTAAAACAATCGATATCTAAAGGGTTAAGTAAAAGTGAAGTTAGTTTGTTGTTTCACAATAATATGAAACTGTAAACAAAAAAATACTTCACCAACGAGGTTTTTATATAAAAACTGTTGAATTGATATTCATGTTGAAAAACATGCAGATTTTTCTGAAATTGTTTGTTGTGAATTATCTAACCTCACAGTGATTATCTTTTAGTTTTCATAAAACATAACCCTCATGTTTTAAACTGTGAGAAGCATCAACACAATATTTTCACAGATTTTTTGGTTAATGTAAATTATTTCCATGTCTGCTCTCCAGCAATAGGGGCACATTTAACTGTTGCCAGCAGAAAAAACACAAAAGACACACAATGCCCGGTTATGATCTCATTTATAGCTTAAATATTAAATCTGAGCCAGTACTTTTGTGATTGTTTGGCAATATAAACCGGCAGCCAGTGAGTTAACTAGTGAACAAGTTTATTTGTTTCTTTCTATACATTAAATTGACATATTTGTCAAAACAAAAGTCTTGTTAATGATTGGATACGGATGTTAAACTGCAACAAAAGGAAGAGAAATCTCGCCTAAAGACGTCTGCTGATGCTTCACTGTTTAAAACCAAACAAGCCAACCCAGCCTCAGTGGGGTAAAACTTTGGTAGTATTATATCTAATACTTTTATCTATACATTTATGATTCTGCTTGACTGAAGAAAACATTTCTACTCTTAATGTGAAAAGACATGTTTACTTATCCTAATCTTAACATTTTACATCCAAATATTCACTTTTGCAACGTCTAAATGGATTTAATTTAATTCTTGTTGGGCAATTGGTACCTTGAGACCAAGTTGTTGTTGAACATGAGCTTGTATTAATAGTTCATTTTTAATTAAAGTAGTTTCTCAAAACATGTGAAAATGGACCATACACAACTTGTTCTCTGGGTTTGGCTCCTGAGCTGTCTCCTCTTTTCCTTTATCTGTCAATAATGCCCTGACCACAAACTAATTGTAATCTTCAAATGGTGATTTTAAGGAAAACGGACGTCACTGAAAAAAGATTCTGTGGTGAAAGTACATTTAACATAACTGAATCTGTGAAATCAACAATAAAAAATGAAGTTCAAGTTAATGTCTTTTCAAAAGTATATGTAGAAACAAAGGCAAAAAATATATGTACAAGATGCAAGACGGAATTTTTTCCAGAAAATAAATTAAGCACTAGGAGCCTGTCTTTCTGATTAACTTATCTTTTTAAGTTCATCTGCACAACAAAAGACAATCTTGTTATCATTACTGTGTTTCATTTGGTATTTCAAAACACCAGATGTTACCCATAATCCATCAGAGTACCTGAGCACCAATGGACCAGTGGCGATTTGAAGTGGAGGCCATTTTGAGCTCTACTTGTGATTAATTGGTTGTTTACTTTATGAACAGCTTAGGAAATTTTATCATGTTATTTTAGGTCTGCAATACTTAAACCTCCCAGCATAACTTTGTTTTTACATGTTGCAGCTAATTAAACCACTGTTGTATTTGTCACAAAAATAGTTAAGATGTTTCAGGTGAAAAGGTAAACCCATCTGGAACAAGGTCACTTTCAGAGCAGCAGGGCACTTATTGGATAGTTTTTAGGATTTACATTTGAATTCATCAAACTTGAGTGAGTTGTAGGCTTATTTTCATGACCATGCTCCGGCTGATGGTCCAGCCTTGCATGTGAATCTGTTTCTTTTACTGAAAAAAGTCAACAAACTGTCACTGTTTCTACATTTCCTGTCAAAGTTTGAGCAAAGAAACAAATACAAAGCAGGAGCCAGGAACAGTTTCTTTCAAATGTTTTCTTTTCAAGTAGCTTCTAGTTAGACAGAAACTAACAAACTGGGTTTTGGTTGTTAAGTAATTACAACATAGTCATATTCATGAAGTTAACTAAAGATTTTACAGTGTACATGCAAATTGAGTGCCCTGTATTTAAAAAGTGGAATAACCTGTACAAAGTTCAATCTGCTTGATAACATTAAATTCACTTTGATTTTCTTTTTCACGTAACCAACTAATCACTTCAAACAAACAACAGTTTGGCCTGATAAACATAAATTATACAAATAGTTGTCTTACGTGTTTTAATAGATAGGGCAGAATATTTTAATCAGAGTTGGCTCTATGTTCAGTTTTTCTCTCAACCAATAACTGATCAAGGGTTTGTGATAACTGGTATCAAGTCTCAATACTGTGGAGGAGGTTGGACTGACTTCACTTTCATTCAGCCATATTGGAGGGCTGTTCGGCATGAACGTTCTTTCTCTTGCATAATGTCTCAGTTTTGTCCCAGATGAAGGAAACCCACATCTTCAAAAATGTCTGTCCACAGAATTTCCTCCCAAAGGTGTTGGGGTCATCAAGGAATTTCTTTCTGGGTCATCGTGACACAGGAGTGGTTCTGCCCTTCAACGTTTCACCTGGAGGCCATTTTTGAACAGTCTCCTCTCTGCTATTGTGAATGTTGACCTGAATATCAACTGAGGCTTTGAAGCTTGCAGAGCTTTACCTTTGGTTGATCACTTAATCCGGGGAAGGTTCTCCACTATTCTATCTTCTTCACATGTGCAAAGGGATCCTCTGTGTGGTCCTTTGGAGAACTCGGAAATTATTTTCTAACCCTTTCCAGATTGATAATATCCATGTCTTTGTTTCTCAATTGATCTGTAATCGGCACTACAGGAACAAATCTACGATTAAACATTCTCACTTGGTGTCACTTCAGAAAACAGGCCTGTTTCAACCCCCTTAGCCAGGCCCATGATGGACTTTGACAACCTTACTGGTTTTCCGAACTAATGAAGCTTTTTAATCTGAATGGGTTTTTATCCTGGTAAAGTAATAATAATAATAAAAAGCTGAAGGTAGTGCATGGTCCAAAGTGGGTCCTGGAGGCATCCTGCATGTTTTATTCTGTCCCTGCTGGTATTAACAACCTCCTCAGCAGGTCAATGATCTTCTTAGGCTCCATCATTCGATCCAGGTGCGTTAAACCAGGGAGAGAATAAAACATGGAGGCCTCCAGGACCCACTTTGGGCTCCACTGGCTTAAGGAAACACAAATCATAAACACCAATCCTTACTGGGCCATCTGGGATTTGAAAATGAGGTTTTGATCAAGAGCAACTGTCTGCTGCTCACTAGAATCACTGATGCTTCGTTTTAAGGTGCGTCTCTCTCTGTTTACTGCAGACAGCATTGAGGGACGCGTGTCCTCTATTTGGGCCCGGAAGAGTTCACACAGTCTTGTCCAACACTGTTCCATAACAGAGACATGACACCTGGGTATCTCCGATTCTGCCTGATTGTCTGGATCTGCCTATCGGTCTGTGCTGAAGGAGGTGAGTTCTAACCCCAGTTTACAACCAGAACTAACTCTTCCAGGGCCGTGCAGAGGCCACTAAAGGGGCAGGTGCTCAAAAAAGAAAAAACAAAAGGGCCCATCTAGCTGCATTTTAGGACAGAATATTAACAAAGCCAGAGAGATCATGAACAATAATAAATTACTAAATTGTGACATATACAATTAAAGCCAAGGAAAATCTCTATATCGAGCATCAACTATGCAAGATATTTTATTAGTGATTTATTTCTGCAGGTCTATTTTGTCTTAAGAAAGTATTGCAATGTTCAAACCTGCAATTTAGCAGGTCATGCAAATAAAAGCTGGTGGTTTAGTTCTGATTTACATATTTAGTCTTTACAGAATTACACTATTAAAATATAA